CCTCAACCCCACCTCACCCCCCCGAACTCTCCCCTTTTCCCAGGCTGGATCAGGACCCCCCCCAGGCCGACCCCTCCCCGGTGGGGAAGTGCTCCCGCACCTTCATCTCCTTCAGCGACGACGAGACCTTCGAGCGCTTCTTCCCGCGCTCCAAGGCCCCGCGGCTGCCGGTGCGGGAGCTGTGCCCCGTCACCCACCGGCCCGCCCTGTACCGGGACCCCGTCACCGACATCCCCTACTCCAACATCCGCGCCTTCCGCATCATCCGCGAGGCCTACAAGAAATACATCACGGCCCACGGGCTGCCCGGAGCCTCCCTGGGCGGCCCCCCGGCCCCAGAGCCCCCCGGGGCGGCCACGGCGGGGGGAGGAGGAGGAGGAGGAGGAGGAGGAGGAGCTGCCCCTGGAGCAGGAGGAGGAGGAGGAGGAGGAGGAGGAGGAGGAGGAGCCGCCCCCAGGCCCGGCCGGCAGAAAATCGTCATCAAACAGAGCGTCCCCACTGCTTGAGAGAGAGGAATGGGATAAGGCAGGGATGGGGATGGGATAATGCAGGGATGGGGATGGGATAGCACCAGGATAAAACCAGAATTGTCATCAAACAGAGCGTCCCCACTGCTTGAGAGAGGGGAATGGGATAAGGCAGGGATGGGGATGGGATAATGCAGGGATAGGGATGGGATAAGGCAGGGATGGGGATGGGATAGCACCAGGATGGGGATGGGATAGCACCGGGATAGAACCGGAATCGTCATCAAACAGAGCGTCCCCACTGCTTGAGGTGGGAGGGCGTGAGGGAGGGGGGGCAGGAGAATGTGGGGATGGGGATGGGATAGCACCGGGATGGGAAGGGGATAATGCCAGGATAAAACCAGAATAACACCAGGATAGGAGTGGGATAACCCCGGGGTACGGTGGGGATGGGAATGGGGATAACATTGGGATAGGAACAGGATAACACCAGGATGGGAATGGGGTAACACTGAGGTACAGCAGGGAGGGAAATGGGATTATGCTGGGATATGGCAGGGATGGGAATGGGATAAAAGTGGGATAACAGCGGGACACAGCAGGGATAGGAACGGGGGAAAAGTGGGATGACACCAGGATAATGCTGGGGTACAGCGGGGATGGGAACAGCATAAAACTGGGATAGAAATGGGATAAAACTGGGATAAAACAAGGGTAAAACAGGGACACTGTTGGGATACCTCACAGGTACCACTGGGATAGCACTGGGATGCACTGGGATAGCACTGGGATGTACTGGGATAGCACTGGGATGTACTGGGATGTACTGGGGCCACAGGGGGGTTCCAGCTCCCCCCCTGGCAGTGGCGTTTCCTTGGATTTATCCCATCCCGGGGTTGGTTTATCCCGTGACTGGAGTTTGGGATTTCCGTGGGTAAAACCGGGAATAAGAGGAAGAAGCGCTGGGTTTGTTTGGGGTCGGCGTGGGGAGACCCTACAATAAACACGGGGGGTGGGAGGGGCTGTTTTCCAGGAGACCCTCCAATAAACACCTTTCATTCCCGATCCTGAGCCGGGAGAAGGAAAAACACCCCCGGGAATTTTTTTGGGTGGGGAACGCTCCGGGAATCCTCCCAGGAGGTTCACCCCGTCCCCGGGCAGGTTTTGGGGTGCGCGGGGGGGCCCCCCCAGGGCCGGGGTGGGGCCCCCCCCGGGGCTGGCGGGGCTGGATAAGCGGCGGGCTGTGGGATATGTGATCCAGCCCCTCCCCGGCGCAGAATAAATCGCTGATCTCATGCCCTGCGCGGCCGGAGCCCTCGGGCTCAGCCGCGGGACTCGCTCCAGGCACGATCCGGTACCGGGGGGGGGTCCCCGGGGGGGCGGGGGGCGCGGAATTCCCACTGGGAGAAGGGATTTGGGGAGTGGAGGGGGGGAGCGCCCACCCTGCAGCCCCGCCACGGCCACGGGGGTTCACCCGCGGGGGGGGACCTTCCCCCACCTTGGAGCGCCCCCCCCGGCCCCAAATCCCAAATCCCGGGTGGGGAGGGCTCGGTATTCCCGCTGGGATGGGGGATTTGGGGTAGGGAGGGGGTGGGTTCCCGGGATCTCCCACCCGGTGGGATCACTCAGGGGGGCTCCTGACCCCCCCTCCGGGCTCTGTCCCACCCTTGGGGGGGGAAAGGGGAGGGTTTGGGGCAGCACCTTGGGACACCCCACCCCCCCCCAATTCCCAACCCCAAATCCCACATCCCGAATCCAGAACGATCCCAGTCCTTGGGGGCACCTGGAGCAGCTCTGGCACCTGAGGGGGTCGGGCCCTGCCAGGTGCGTGTCCCCACCACCCCCCCCAATTTTGGGGTCCCACACCTCGATTTGGGGGCCCTTTTTGGGGGGGACGATCCCAGGGATTCACCCCCTCGTGTTTCCCTCTCCTGCTTCCCAGGGATTTTTTTGGGGAGGGCTGGAGGGGGAATCAGGTGCTGCTGGTTTGGGATGAGCCCCCCAGGAAATGGAGGGGGGGAGGTTTTTGGGGGTGGGACTCAATTTTCCCCCAGCAAAGCCCCCCCCAAACCCCCCCTCCCCCACGCTGGGACCCCCCAAATCCAACGGGAACCCAATTCCCTGGAGGTGGAGGTGGCACCAAGGGGGGTGACACGGGGCGGGAGGGGGGATCCTCACGGCACTGGGGGGGTCCCCCCAGCCCCTAAACCCCCTATTTACCCCCCCCCAGGACGCCCCCCAGCCATGACGTCATACCGGCAGGAGCTGGAGAAGTACCGGGACATCGACGAGGACAAAATCCTGCAGGAATTGTCCCCCGAGGAACTGGCCCAGCTGGACATGGAGCTGATGGAGATGGACCCCGAGGTGAGCTCGGGGACAGCACGGGGGGGCCCCGGGGACAGCGGGGACCCCCACGGGTGACGCCGTGGGTGTGTGTCCCCCCCTCCCCAGAACGTGCTGCTGCCGGCGGGGCTGAGGCAGCGGGACCAGACCCAGAAGAGCCCCACGGGCCCCCTGGATCGGGAGGCGCTGCTGCAGCACCTGGAAAAGCAGGCGCTGGAGGCCGAGGAGCGCCAGGACCTGGTGCCCTTCACGGGCGAGAAGAAAGGTGTGGGGACACCCCGGGGACAGGGGGGGACATTGGGGGGGGACGGCGGCAGGGCCGGGGGGGGGGGGGGGGTATATTTAGCTCGGCAGGCTCGGGTGTCCCGGGCGAGCTGGGCCCCCGCCAGCCCCGGGCAATGTCACCCCCCCCGGGCCACCCCCCCCCCCCCCCCCCGGCAATGTCACCCCCTGGCACTGTCCCCCCACCCTGGGCCAGGTCCCCTTCGGGTGGTGGCCACGTCCCCCCTGGGCCACCACAGTGGTGTCCCCGGCCAGTGTAACCCCCTGTGCCACCATTCCTGGTGTGACCCTGTCCCTTGTGCCACCATTCCTGGTGTGACCCTGTCCCTTGTGCCACCACTCCTGGTGTGACCCTGTCCCTTGTGCCACCACTCCTGGTGTGACCCTGTCCCTTGTGCCACCACTCCTGGAGTGACCCTGTCCCTTGTGCTACCATGCCCAGTGTCCCCCGTGTCCCAGCACTGCCATTCCCAGTGTTCCTCCACCATTCCCAGCATCCCTGCCCGGCGTGTCCCTGTCCCCCTGTCCCCCTGTCCCCTGTCCCTGTGCCCCCATTGCTGCTGTCCCTGTGCCCCCATGGCCGCTGTCCCCGTGCCCAGGGAAGCCGTTTGTGCCCAAGAACCCGACGCGGGAGATCCCCCGGGAGGAGCAGATCACGCTGGAGCCGGAGCTGGAGGAGGCCCTGGCCAACGCCACCGAGGCCGAGATGTGTGACATCGCCGGTGGGTGTGTCCCCACACCCCCCCCCTCCCCCCGAGGGGACAGGGGGTGTCCTGGACCCCCCCTTTAACCCCTCCCTGCCTGTCCCCCCCCTCCCCCAGCCATCCTGGGCATGTACACCCTGATGAGCAACAAGCAGTACTACGATGCCATCTGCAGCGGGAACATCTCCAACACCGAGGGCATCAACAGTGAGTGACAGGGGACACACCCCCGGGGCAGGGGACACCCCCTCGGGGCAGGGGACACCCCCCCGGGACAGGGGACACCCCCCCAGGATGGGGGACATGACAACACAGCACAGGGGACATCAGGACGGGCCCCCAGGACAAGGAAAACAGGGCCCACCCGGGTGGGATTTGGGGGCCCAAACCCCCTCGGGGGTTCCTGTGACCCCCCCAGCCCTGTCCCCCGTGTCCCCCCAGCCCTGTCCCCCGTGTCCCAGGTGTGGTCAAACCTGACTCGTACAAGCCGGTCCCGGACGAGCCCCCAAACCCCACGGACGTGGAGGAGACGCTGCGGAGGATCCAGGAGGACGACGCGACCCTGGAGGACGTGAACCTCAACAACATCAAGGTCGGGGACCCACTGTGTCCCCAGAGTGTCCCCAGAGTGTCCCCAGAGTGTCCCCAGCGCGGGTGGCTCCAGGCCCAAGGTGTCCCAGACGGCGTCAGGGCGATGGATCCCACCCCAGAGTGTCCCCAGGATGCCCCTTGGAGCCACCTCCACCCCTTTGGAGCCACCCCCACCTCCCTGGTGCCACCTCCACCACCCTGGTGACACCCTGGGGATGTCCCCCTTGCCCCAGGTGACACCCCCTCCCCCCCCCGTGTCCCCTGTCCAGGACATTCCCATCTCCACGCTCAAGGCCATCTGCGAGGCCATGAAAACCAACACCCACGTCAAGAGGCTCAGCCTGGTGGCCACCAGGAGCAACGACCCCGTGGCCCACGTGAGTGTCCCCAGCTGTCCCCACCCCGAGGCGACCCCGAGGCGACCCCGAGGTGACCCCGAGGTCCCACCCCCCCCCAAAAAGGCGGTGGCCGAGATGCTGATGGAGAACAAGACCCTGCAGAGCCTCAACATCGAGTCCAACTTCATCACGAGCGCGGGGATGAGGAGCATCATCCAGGCCGTGCCCCACAGCCCCGCCCTGGCCGAGCTGCGCGTGGACAACCAGGTGGGCACCTCAAAATGTCACCCCCCCTGCACAGCCACCCCTGCCAGTGCCACCCCCCCAAAATGTCAACCCCCTGCACAGCCACCCCTGCCAGTGCCACCCCTCAAAATGTCACCCCCCAAAAGGTCACCCCCTGCAATGTCAC